TGGTTTGCAGAATAAAAAATGCAATATTCTTCCGGTGACCTTTTTGACCTTGCAATGGCCTATCATGAAACAAGCTGTTTTGTTGTATTAAAATTCTTATCTAATGTTGTATGTATTCAAGAAAAGTTTAGGGGAACTACAGAACCTTGTGCCTCTATATTTTGGCTTACCATTAATTCTCATAATAAATAAATATTTGAAGATAAAACATTTTTTTCTTTTTGGAATGTTTTACATTTCAAATGACATGACATGGGGTCAGACAGTTTAGCAGGAAGGTAAACAGATTTCTCTAATGTTTACCCCAAAAAACTCCACACAAAGCAGACTAAACTAAAGTATCATACCTCCATGTGCCAATGTTGAGATCTGATTGGTTCACGTGATTGGATCATGTATGTGTCCTGTCTGGTAGGGAAATACATTTCTGAGCGGGAGAATAAATCTCTGATACCCCACCATAAAGAAGACAGGCTGCACATGGATTTCTGAGGGGTAGAATAAATCCCATATTCCCCGCTTCAAAGCTAAAAATGTCGTGATTTTACAGAGTGAATGAAAGTGACGTGACATAGCACAAGTTAACCTCAGCTCAATCGAGCAGCTGTTTTCTATCAATTTTGAATTTGTTTTGATTCTTTTACAATGTCACATTAAAACATGTCGGTAAGATCAATCCATTGTGGCAATATCACGATGGTTTAGGTTTTTTACCACAAATGTAAATGCATGCTTGGGTGTGTGTGCATGCACATATGTCCATGCAGACATTTAAATAAATACTCCAAATCTCTTACATAACATAGACACATTTGACAAACAATTGTCATGTTAGACCTAATTTTAGTCCATTTTTGTTTAATATTCAGAATTGTATTAAATGTATGAAACAGAATCTGATAATTGCCTGTGTTGTGGCCAGGTGCCACAATGAGGGATTGCCTGGTACTGCTGAATGAATCATAACTTGTACACGTCACACAAAGATGGTTCTATTTGTTCATGTTACTGTGTGCAGTGAAACCTCACCTGTTCAGGCATTTCTTACACATCTTGCAAAATGGTGAAATGATTTCTAATGAAAATATTTTAAAACTATTTAGACCTACAACAAATTAGGAATTGCTGATGTTGCCAAGGAATGTAACATATGTGCTTTTATCACATGTGACAGTGGCAGCTGTAAGATTTTAAAACTGGGACCATTTGGTTGGTTTAGCACCATCTTGAACATTATTTCAGTGATCTCCCAGCTTGTCAGCTTTGTGTGGGAGATAAGATTGAAGTGATGTTTTCCACTTCAGTAAAACAGTATGACGCTGAAAGACCATGGATCGTTATGAATGCAAATCTGGCCTAAGAAATGGATCCTGGCATGACCAAGGGACATAACCCCGTACAGCCAACTGACACTTGGTCAGCAAGTGCCATTTGATAAAAATTATATGCTGCAATATTAGAACAGAAAGAAAAATCTTTATTTGAATTGATCTAAACATTAAGTGAGTGAGCATTTGTTTTCGTACTGCTTTGAACAATATTTCAGTTTTTCATGTTGTGTCACCTTAATGTTGGAGGGAAGCGACTAGACTAACATCTAGTCTCTGAAATGAACATATCGTACAGAAAAAAAACAGTTGTTCAGTTATCTTAATAAAAATATAATAAAAGGGAGCCCAGTGACTCTCTTCATTTTCATATGATACTGCAGTAACCTAGACTTGCCAAACATTATAGACTTGCATGGGCTGTATTGGCGACGTGCAGAGCAGTTTGAAGTATCTTAGACAACTGGGCCACCCATGCCCCCAAAATGTGAAGAGAAACATTAAATTAAAGGGGTTCCAATACCAAGCATAATTCTATCCTTGCCAGTGGGATTCTTTGTTGCCTGTATCACTGATAATTATTTGTGTGTAAAAAGTTTCTATATCACTAATATTTATTATGTAAAGATATTGTCTGTATTACTGATAATTATTTATGTGTAAATATTGTCTGTATCAATGATAATTAATTATGTGTAGATATTGACTTTATAAATATTGTCTGTGTCAATGATAATTATTTTTGGCTACATATTATCTGTATCAATGATAAGTATTTATGTACAGATATTGTTTGCCCAATTTGTACATGAAATGATAGGTTTGTAATTTAAAAAAAACTGTTTTTGAAGCAGTGAATCTGCTACCCATGTAAATAACAAACACAAGCTACAGCAAGTCTACATAAAGCCAAATATTTGAGCAAGGGCAGGGCATTTACCTTGTCATTGTAGATTATGTCAAATTTGTAAAAATCCCCCCAAGCACTTAAATAAAGGGGCTTATAGTCACACATGCCTCCCGTCCCTCACTCAGGGCTGGAGAAGTACACAAGTGAAACACACATCTGATACTGTCACTGACAGCAACACATCGCACTGAAATATATCATCACAATGCTGCACTGGTGACTGCTTGGAAATAACTGAAATTGAACACATTTGGCTCTGAGTCAACAAGAGAAAAGTCTACATATTTAAAGGTGCATGACCAGATCTAGAGTCGCAAGTTTCACTTACATGACTTAAGAGTTGACTTTTTTGGGTGCGTTCACACAGGTTTAAATGTGAAAAATGGTGTGCACACTGTGTTAATTTGTGTGACTCATTAGTCAGGCCAAGTTTATAACATGCACTTCCATAAACACCAAAAATATATTGAAGTTAGCAATAATAACCTCACAAATTTAAAATCATACACAAGATGTTGATAGGAAATCAGTGACATCATTCACCACAATAATGCAAAACAGGTCACATTTTTTAAGTTCAGAGAAAAAATTGTAAACCAATAGTTATTGTGTTCTCCAATCTGATTGGTCAGCCTCCCTCATCGGTTATCATTTGATTCCCACAAATCCACATAAGCCCCTTACAGGCTTAGGAATCAATAAACAGTACTATTTCTCAAGACAAGTCTTAATGTCTCAAGAAAATTTTTCCCAGCCACAGTTTTATTTGGGAACCCTTGAGGATGTTTTCGGTTTTAACATGGATGATGCCATACTGGAAGAATTCCGGAATGATGATGGCAAGTATTTCATGACAATTGACGCCTCTATCAAGTCTATGTTTACATTAGGAAAATAATGCTCATTTTACAAACAATATCTTGATGATGTAACAACGTTAATCTGTAAACAAACTGTAAAAGAAATACATCTGCATATATATAAAAAAAATTTATTGCATTTTCTAAGATTACAGCCAATCAAATGCCATGGAATCACATGCAATTTATTTATCTCATTTTGTATCTGAGTTTTTCTTTATATGGGAGCATGACTTATTTGAAATTACATTTGTAGTAGAAATGTAATGCGTGATAACTGATATCAGAGAACATGGACTGGAGTGTTCACTGTCAAATCAAACAAAAACGTAAAAAAATGTCTGAAATAAACAAGTATTAACAGATCAGAGATCCTATTGTAATTCTGATCTTGCATGTTTTAGGCTGATAAGCACATACATAGAAACAGTTCACAAAAATTAAGGACTGATTTACAAGTATCTGTTTTATTGACGTGTTATATGATACAGCTAGAATATTACTGACTGTAATGTTGAACAACGTTCACTCACTCACTCTGAGATTCAGTTGTGACCGATTGTTACTGAACATTCAGGGATGGAATCCTCCCTTTACCTGCAGCCTAAGGGGTCACCAGTCAACTGGATTGATCCAGGCTTTTATTTTCACTTGTCACTAGACGGATAGACTAACATTTAGTCTCTGAAATCTTATATTACACAATATCCTTCTTGACTCTAAAAATAAAATAAAAATCCCTATGCTGTGGAATAGAGCTAGCTTGAGCTGGCTAGACTTGCTTTTGTATGCATTTCTAGATTATTTTTTTTCATAAAATAAATATATTCCACGGTTATGGTGCAGGACTACTAGACGGACAATATGGATCAACAATGTTGTGTTTAGATTCATGTCTGTACGTCTGGTGTATCTTGTATTTTTTTCTTCATCTAACTTGAATTAAAACATTTACACGCATAATCTTTAAATTACCATCATAGGGAGTCCCCAGCAACGACTGGTAAACCAGGATAAGTTAAACCATCTCACAAAATGTGTTTGAGACAAGTAGGCGGTGCAAAGAATTTGGGCAACCATATTTGGTTTGTAACAGGTGGAGAGGGTGTATGCATGATGTGCATGTGCAGGTCATGGTGATGAAATTGACAATTGATCCCGTAGACACACATGTTGCTCATAAGACTGTTAAGAGGTTGGTTTGACAAGTCAAGACCAGAATTCTCTGAAAGCCGTTTGATAGAAGTTACTTACAAACAAATAAACAAGTCAAAGATTGTCAAGCATGGCTGGATCATACATTCCCAGGCTCAAAAATTGGCCAAAATGTCATAAATTCCATGGAGAAAGAATATACAAATAAATCTCGAGCATTGTCAAAGGCTTGCATTGCCACTGGTCTGTCTGTACCTGTGCTAAAGGGCATCAGTTCGAAGGTAACACTTGTGACAAAGGTGAGAGTAGTTTTATTTGCCCAAGTAAGTCGTGAAATCGTCCAGTGATCAAATTCCAACTTGACAATTTTGACCAGTGTGCTGTTCTGCCAATTGGTACACAGTTCATATGTTGTGCGAAAACAACTGCCAACTCTAGACAGTAACATACAATGTCAACCATTGTTTGATGACGTCATTCAAATCGAGCGTGATGCCATTTCTTTCTCACATCTGCTTGAGCACACATACAAAGAAAACGCTAAGGAATATTACGATAATATTTGCATTTGGGAGATTTCCGATGTGTGAGTGTAAATGAGTATTCAACACCTGGAACTGGTAAACAACACCTAAAAACAATGTTTGCCGATGGGTACACATATATGGAGGTGTTATTGAATATTTGATACCTGGAACTTTTTTGAGTACTGTGAGTGTTCATGTTTATACATCTGCAATGACGTACCTGCCAGATTCCAGATGATGACAGCACTGTCGGAACACCCTGACGCTATCACTTCCTTGTTGTAGGCGAGGCAGTACTGCAATAAACATGATATGGTGAGGGAATATTGAGTGAGTTGGGTTCAACACCGCATTGTACAGTACGTCTTCATGCCACAGTGTGTCTGCTCCATCGGGAGGGAAGCTCAATGTGATGCACGTCTTTACCACTTTCATCAAACCAATGACAGAGTCACAAAGTTCTGACAAAGGATTAAATAAGGGCAAAATGGTAATAAAGCCCATGATTATAGGATCCTGGCATTCCTAAGGAATGCAACTCTACACAGCAAATTGCAGTGCTGAAGACAACTGTTCTGTCTGTGCCTACACAGAGTAGTATTAGGATGGCTTCATATCTCTACTGTACAGTTCCAACCTGGTCCTTACCTCTGCCATGGGCCAGGCAGATGTGAGAGGTCGTCACACTCAGATTGTCTAATCAAGCAAAATATATCATTTTCTTACATATTTATATATGTCAGGAAAGATTGAATACTTCACAGCGGAATATTCCAGCTATATGACGGCGGTCTGTAAATAATGGAATCTTTTTCGAATAAAATCCAGTGATTGACATCATTGCAATTGGGATACAATGACATGCATCAACCAAGTCAACGAGCCTGTTCACCCAATCCTATAATTTCAAAACTTAATTAAAACAAAAACAAAAGGTGACATGTCAAAATATGAACTCATCTGACAATTTCTCAACTATCCCCAAAAATATAAATTTTACAATTGCAAAAAATTAGCGAAAACCCCCAAATAATGATGATTTATTTGAAGTTGTACGGTAGTACAGGTGTCATGAGTGACAACACTAACAGCATTGAAGTAGCCTTGTTACCAGACACACAGACGGTCAATAGTCATTAGGCATAGAGCTTCATATATACTCCGCACCCTGGGGTTCATTAGAGCCATGGCTGTCAGTGTTGTCTGGACAAACTGCAAGTTTTGGACATTTTGCAATAATTTATCACATTATCTAGCTCCTGTAATTCTGTATGCTTTTATGCAGGATCCGTTGTGAGCTGATTCCGAGTGATGTTGACTGACAGAAACATATAACGGAAGTAAACATGAATATGGAATCAATTCACCAGGAACCACGTATTTTGGAGCAAGGTGTATTCAACTTGTAAATGTTGGAATTAAAAAAAGTTAGTGTGTCTTATCTCGATTTGAAATAAAGTAGCATAACTGAATCCTGAATAGGTTGTTTTGGTACTCAAAGTTTGTTTGTTTGTTGTTTAATGCTGCACTTAGCAATATTTCAGTTATCTGATGTACACCTGTACATAAGTGAATCAAGAACAGAATATCTATGCCGTCAGGTCAGGGTATGACGCACTCACAACCAAGTCACCGAACCTAATCACCCAATCAAATAAATGCCTCTTACAACCAGCATGCATTGCTGGGTACCATTTCTTACTGTTTAATTCTTCAATCAGGTACTGGCGCTATGGTCTAGTGGATAGAGTGTCTGCGGAAGGTCCATGGTTCAATTCCCTGGTCGCATCATACCAAAAGATTGTTGTTTCCCTTGCTGGTGCAAGGGTTAAAACAAGACTGGTCAGCTTGGAGTCATAACACTGTGTCTGACAGCAGCATGGTATTCAAGTGGGTTAGCACTTTGAAACCAGCAGTAGTCTGGACTAGTACAAGAAAACATGCACACATGTGAAACTCCATTTCACCTCACCTCTTCAGTCAGGTGAGCTAATATCAAGTAGAACTAGTAAAGTACAAACCACCTCTCAAGAGTAAACAATGCACCAGCCAAGGAACCCACAAACATCTATATCTGTTAATGTGATCACTCCTGTGCTTGGAACATCATAACTCTGTCTAATGAGGAACCTGCTTCCCTTCATTAAAAATGCCATGTTTTTGAAAACGCTCTTTATTGTCTGCATGACATTGTATCGGATGCTGACTAGACAAGTGGAAGACAATTAATTGTATGTTCAGGGACAGTTTAAAAAACAGTAATATTTCATTTTCTGTTTATTTTTAACAGTAATAAAAGTGAAAACTAATTATGTTCAAGATAATAACTGATGTTGATCTGGGAGTTTAGATTTACTTTCTTTAGCATTAAATGAAACAATATTTACAATTTTGAAAAAATGTAAATAATTGAATGAGTATGCAGCATATATTTTTAAAGGATATACAAAACATAAACTAATGGGTGTAGAAAGTGATCGTATCTTGCACCTTGCAAGTTTCATGCTGAATGAATAGATAAGGCTTGAGACAGGTGGAAGAGATTGATTCAGGATAGGTTTTAGAAGTTTGCCATCCATCACCCCTCCAGTGTGGGAGGCAGGAAACAGATACAGCAATATTATATGTGAAACCATCCTCAGCACCCAGGGGTGTATTCACCCCCTGGTTCCAATAACACCCTTGGGCATCTGCAGCAATATCACAGAGGGGCATAAGGTTGTCTGGAGAGGAGCTAGTTTATAGTTGGCTTCACATATTGTACCCATGTGGGATATGAAACCCAGATAACAAGGAAATCACTACCACTTTGGTAAAACAAATTTGGTGATGGTACATTAAGTTCATAGCTGGAATATTGCTGAGTGCGGCATTAAACAACAAACCAACCAACCAACTGAGTTCATCATCAGGGTAAATCTGGGATTCAAACCCCATCAGGTCATCATTGGGGGAAATTGGCATGTGAATTTTCACCTTCATTGGCCTAGTGGTTTCTGAGGAGATTCTTATAACGCAAAAAAGGTATTTTAAGAATATTTAGGACAAAAGGTGCAAAGATCAAATAAAGGTTAAAACTCAAAATATTGCAAAACGGAATGTATATATTTACTATTATTTACACATGTACCAAATATCATTACATTTAAACTTAAACAGTTGATAATAATGGCCACAAGGCATTTTCGGTCAGGTGAGCTTAAAATGTACAATGGAAAATCTATAAAAAAAACCTCTCACGTTCTTCTCAGCCAGAATAATCAATGCAGATAATAAAGATAATGTACTGCCATTCCATGATGAACCTAACTACCTGGTTGTAAACTTGCACACAATGTCCTCCTTGTGCGTACATATCTGTTCTGATTATCAGTTTAATCATGTCTCCGGGATCACACGGCTGCTTGATATACACCCCAGTCTGAGACAACAGCTGTCAATTAGAAATAGACGCTACCCTAATGAGGATGAAATATGAGGTCTATTTCAGAGATAGGTTGGGTAGGTTTTTCTCACAATGGCCAATTAGTAGGGGAAAATTGTAATTTGAGAAGGGTTCAAAAATTACAAATTTACAAAAAAGCTTTGACGTTTAGAAAATTTCATAGTTTTGTTTACTAAAACGAAATCTTCTTGAATCAATGTCTTCACAGATAATAATAAGTCATTTTATTTTTTGCCCATTTTAACACATGTTGTTAATATAAGATCCTAAAAAGGAGCATATAAGATCCCAAACTGGAAGATTTTGCATTTTTTCGAAAAGAAGTCAAAATAACATAATCTGATATTCGTATTCTGTAATTGAGATGACAAGATGATTAGTGTGTTGAACCACATGGTACATGTACATAGTAAAATATTCTTCATTTTTAAATACAGTAACATAAAAATGCAAAGGTTAAATAGCTACATTTTGTTGAAAATGCTAATTTTCTGTTTAGAACTCCATCAAACAAGAAGATCAATTGTTTATTTTATAACAATTGGTATACTAATCATGTTTATCATTATAATCATTATGAAAGGGTATTGTGACTTCATAAAACCAAACTCACACTAATGTTGTTTGTTTGTTTCTTTGTTTGTTGTTTAATGCCACACAGCTATATGATGGCAGTCTGTAAATAATCAAGTCTGGCCCAGACAATCCAGTGATTGACATCATGAGCATCGATCTATGCATTTGGGATACGATGACATTCATCAACCAAGTCAGCAACTCTGACCGATCCCGTTAGTCGCCTCTTATGACTATCATAGTTGCCTCTTATGACAAGCATAGTCAACTTTTACAGCAAGCATGGGTTGCCAAAGACCTATTCTATCCCCAGATCTTCACTGGTCTGAAACTTATGTACAGGTTTTGCAAACAGAATAACTTGTGGTGGTTCAAATACAGATACAATACAAATACATTTGAGTAGCTGAATATTCCTAATTTCATTTAACATGACATTGAATAGTGCGATGGTTCAGCAGGAAAAATAAAAAAGGTTAAAATGTAGGATATTTCAAAATTACAACCTAAAAGATTAATGACAATGATTCCATATTGACTTCCTGCACTGTACAGTTTTCTGTCTCAATCCATCCACAATAAGTGGCAGTTACAAATAAATTGGAATTTTATACGCTTATTTCTGGGTTTGAGTTTTTTGTTTCGTCAGTCGATCTATAAAACGAAAACTAATGAGGTGTATGTTTTACTATGGATTTCAGAAAATTAGAAGACACTTCAAAAGTATTCCAACTGCAGGGTTCCCATTCAGAATGTCAAGAAGTCAATGAAGGGGGGCTTGTCATACATTAATGTTGATAATCAAAGATTTAGGGGTTAACCCCTTTGTATCTAACAATAAATAATACTGTACCCAACATATTTTAAGACCAATTGCACTTTACATTTAAGAGTTAATCCTTTATGCATTCCGTTGATGAACATCTTGGAAAGAGGTTAACCTTTTGGACTCAATCTTAGTCAAAGTCAAATATCATTTCTCCTCATCACACTTTGCCATGGTCATGGTGTTATGAGACATTCCTGTCATCTGTTGAATGATCATAAACATCTCGCTGACAAAGTTCATTATTCTTCATGAGAATGACTTCAGGATAGCATAGGTGTCAAAACTGTTTTCAATCTAACAAATCTTATATATTATTGGATAGTTTTCTGCAGCAAATTCATCACATAGCAAACTGACATTATCAGCTACTTCACACAGTGAGATATCTCTGGGAATAGCTCGCCCCTGCTTTCATATACATTCAGTCGATCAAGCTGGTCCTGAGACAACTGGGAAAAAATATTAAACATGAGAAAATATGGCGTCTGTGTTATCTAGCAATGACACCTGGATGTCTTGAAGCAGCTGAGGTAGATAGCCTCCAGTATCACACAATCACTTCTGACATGGGCATTAATCTGGGGGAATTATGTGATGGCGGTGAGTAGGGGGAGAGGCAGGGTGGAGGGAGTAGGATGAGGGTGGACAGAATAGGAAGACAGGAGGGGAGAAGTAGTTGAAGCAGGGGGAAAAGAGCATGGATGAGGGTGAACAGAATGGGAAGACAGGAGGGGAGAAGTAGTTGAAGCAGGGGGAAAAGAGCATGGATGAGGGTGGAAATAATAGGAAGACAGGAGGGGAGAAGTAGTTGAAGCAGGGGGAAAAGAGCATGGACGAGGGTGGAAATAATAGGAAGACAGGAGGGAAGAAGTAGTTGAAGCAGGGGGAAAAGAGCATGGACGAGGGTGGAAATAATAGGAAGACAGGAGGGGAGAAGTAGTTGAAGCAGGGGAAAAGAGCATGGACGAGGGGGGACAGAATAGGAAGACAGGAGGGGAGAAGTAGTTGAAGCAGGGGGAAAAGAGCATGGACGAGGGTGGAAATAATAGGAAGACAGGAGGGAAGAAGTAGTTGAAGCAGGGGGAAAAGAGCATGGACGAGGGTGGAAATAATAGGAAGACAGGAGGGGAGAAGTAGTTGAAGCAGGGGAAAAGAGCATGGATGAGGGTGGAAATAATAGGAAGACAGGAGGGGAGAAGTAGTTGAAGCAGGGGGAAAAGAGCATGGACGAGGGTGGAAATAATTGGAAGACAGGAGGGGAGAAGTAGTTGAAGCAGGGGGAAAAGAGCATGGACAAGGGTAGACTGAATAGGAAGACAGGAGGGGAGAAGTAGTTGAAGCAGGGGGAAAAGAGCATGGACGAGGGTGGACAGAATGGGAAGACAGGAGGGGAGAAGTAGTTGAAGCAGGGGAAAAGAGCATGGACAAGGGTGGACAGAATGGGAAGACAGGAGGGGAGAAGTAGTTGAAGCAGGGGAAAAGAGCATGGACGAGGGTGGAAATAATAGGAAGACAGGAGGGGAGAAGTAGTTGAAGCAGGGGGAAAAGAGCATGGACAAGGGTGGACAGAATGGGAAGACAGGAGGGGAGAAGTAGTTGAAGCAGGGGAAAAGAGCATGGACGAGGGTGGAAATAATAGGAAGACAGGAGGGAAGAAGTAGTTGAAGCAGGGGGAAAAGAGCATGGACGAGGGTGGAAATAATAGGAAGACAGGAGGGGAGAAGTAGTTGAAGCAGGGGAAAAGAGCATGGATGAGGGTGGAAATAATAGGAAGACAGGAGGGGAGAAGTAGTTGAAGCAGGGGGAAAAGAGCATGGACAAGGGTGAACAGAATGGGAAGACAGGAGGGGAGAAGTAGTTGAAGCAGGGGAAAAGAGCATGGACAAGGGTGGAAATAATAGGAAGACAGGAGGGGAGAAGTAGTTGAAGCAGGGGGAAAAGAGCATGGACGAGGGTGGAAATAATAGGAAGACAGGAGGGGAGAAGTAGTTGAAGCAGGGGGAAAAGAGCATGGATGAGGGTGGAAATAATAGGAAGACAGGAGGGGAGAAGTAGTTGAAGCAGGGGAAAAGAGCATGGACGAGGGTGGAAATAATAGGAAGACAGGAGGGAGAAGTAGTTGAAGCAGGGGGAAAAGAGCATGGACGAGGGTGGAAATAATAGGAAGACAGGAGGGGAGAAGTAGTTGAAGCAGGGGGAAAAGAGCATGGACGAGGGTGGAAATAATAGGAAGACAGGAGGGAAGAAGTAGTTGAAGCAGGGGGAAAAGAGCATGGACGAGGGTGGAAATAATAGGAAGACAGGAGGGAAGAAGTAGTTGAAGCAGGGGGAAAAGAGCATGGACGAGGGTGGACAGAATGGGAAGACAGGAGGGGAGAAGTAGTTGAAGCAGGGGGAAAAGAGCATGGACGAGGGTGGACAGAATGGGAAGACAGGAGGGGAGAAGTAGTTGAAGCAGGGGGAAAAGAGCATGGACGAGGGTGGACAGAATGGGAAGACAGGAGGGAAGAAGTAGTTGAAGCAGGGGGAAAAGAGCATGGACGAGGGTGGACAGAATGGGAAGACAGGAGGGAAGAAGTAGTTGAAGCAGGGGGAAAAGAGCATGGACGAGGGTGGACAGAATGGGAAGACAGGAGGGAAGAAGTAGTTGAAGCAGGGGGAAAAGAACATGGACGAAGGTGGACAAAATGGGAAGACAGGAGGGGAGAAGTAGTTGAAGCAGGGGGAAAAGAGCATGGACAAGGGTGGAGAGAATTGGAAGACAGGAGGGAAGAAGTAGTTGAAGCAAGGTGCAGGGAGTAAGGATGGGGGTTGAGAGAATGGGAGGACAGGAAGGGAGAGGAAGTGGAAACAGGGGGAAAGGAGCATGGATGAGGGTGGAGAGAATGGGAAGACAGGAGGGGAGAAGTAGTTGAAGCAAGGTGGAGGGAGTAAGGATGGGGATGGAGAGAATGAAGATAGGTAGGGAGAGGAAGTGGAAGCAGGATGGAGGGAGTAAGGATGGGGGTGGAGAGAATGTGAGGACAGGAAGGGAGAGGAGGTGGAAGCAGGGTGGAACAAAAAGGAAGGGTCCTGTTCACTCACTCACAATAACCCAGATCACTCACTCAGTCCACTACTGACTAGCTTGTGAGACATCAGCATTACTTACAACTTCTCCATCATGTCCGGACAGGATGTGTGTACATTTCCCACTGGACATGCTCCAGATCCGGAGATCCTTGTCTGCACTCCCACTCACAATCTTCTCACTGTCAAACTGACAGCAACTGATCACTGAAACATAACACATGCCATGAAACATTGCAATCAATTGCTCGTCTCCACTGCCTTCAGTCAAGGCACCTGACTGGAAACCGACGCTACCAATCTACTGATGAACTCCAGTTTCAATTACGTTATCTGTACTTACATGCAATTGTCTATATAAAATCCATCCATCACAATCACTGTTTTGATTTATTCCTATCCAGGACTTATTCTTAATGTGTAATCTGCAACTCATTATCAATGAGTGAGTGAATTAGGATTTATTGCCCCTTTGAACAGCATTTTAATAATAATTCTGTGTCAGCTCAATGTGGGAAGAATACCAAAATTCAAAGATATGATCACATATTTGAATCTATTTCATCTTACTCTGAAGGATGAGGTGTGATAATACACTGGAAATGTCAAACGGGAAATTTGAAATATTGGTGTGAAAATTATTGGAATCAAAGGCAATTGAAAACTTATTTTTAACACTTGTTAGTTCAGGACTTCAGGCATGATCAAGTTCAAAGGTATGACAGAAATGAGTCATAATGGCCAATTTTTTAGACTTCCAACTATGCACAAGACTGTGATGCAAGACAAATTGATTTGCAATTGTTTGTTTTAAAGGCTTGCTCATGTTTACACACTTTAACCTTAACCTTAGACTAACATCTAGTCTCTGAAATGAACATATTGTACAGAAAAAACAGCTGTTCAATTATCTTAATAAAAGTATAAGAAAAGGAGCCCAGAGACTCTATTCATTTTCACTGCAGTAATCTAGACTTGCCAAACAGTACAGACTTGCATGGGCTGTATTTGATATATTTGTATCAGGGTCTGTAAGACAGACTACCTTAACCTATGCATTTAGTATTATTTAGTATTATCACAAGTGCAAAGTATGCAAGTGTTTAATTAACAAAGTCTAGTTCTCATTTGAGAACTTTCACAACGACTTTTAAAAGTTTTGCTCATATCTTAATGTATGCAGTTTGAGTGGGTCAAAGAAGGCTTTTCATATCTTGTAATCATGCATTATTCCCATGGTGCTCCAGTAATTCCTCAAAAACATATTTACATATTGCAAAAAGCAATTCAAATGTCATTTGTTTTCATTAAGTTCAAAATAAGTATTTGAAATGTTAGATGTACTCAAATGACAAAAATGAAAGATTGTTTGGCAATAGTGACAATTTCACTAGTCTTCTCTCATTTCAATACAAACATGACAGGTATTTTCACAGTTCAATAATTTCAGTCAATGATAAAATACCCTTAAGGGGCCCTTGTCATAACTGATAAATATTGTGTCAGGTGAGGTGAGGTGAGGTGAGGTGAGGTGAGGTGAGGTGAGGTGAGGTGAAATAGTGTTTAAGGTGACAAGAGTATTGCACTTATATTGTGATGTGCCTGCACGTGTGTGTGTGCCTCTGTGTACGTGTACTTATACTAGTCTGGACTATTGCTCACCCACTGAGATACCATGCCAAAGTTTAACATGAATATCCCACTCAGACACATTATACTGACCAGTCATTGTATTAGCCCTCAAAGCCTAGGGTGCATGTGGCAAGTTTGTAAAATAGCTACCTATTTATATATATTCATGGTACAATTTTTTTCTATTTCTTTGTGATGTTTTCTACAACATAAGATCTGATACTGAAAATCATGAAAGACATTTTACTGTAGCTACCCTGGTTCATAAATGTGTTTATCATTACTCTTCATAAAAGCTGATTTGCCATCACCATGTTGTACAAACCAATACAATCAGCTGAAGATCAGTGAGTGTGAGTGTGTTTGGTTTTACACCGCTTTTAACAGTATTCCAGTTATATCACGGTGTGTCAGCTTAATGTGGGAGGAAAGCCCAAAGTGATGCAGGTCTCAGATATTTACCACTTCGGTGAAACCCACGAGCACGGGTATGGTGCTGACAAACCTAGAAACATAATCGGGGCGAACCGGGATTCGAACCCACAATCATAGGTTGTCCAAGGGATGTAACTCTGCACAGCAAATCGCGTGCCTTAGACGACTGGGCCACCCGTGCCCCCAGCTGGAGATCAGATGGGCATCATGATATCATAGCAATATCATACCATCCTGCTTATCACAAGATGGTGATAACAGTCACAAGATACATCTAATCCCAGCACAGCCCTCGAATATCAAATGGTCGGTACCTAACTGTCAGACCCAAATATTTTAACCTGAGGAAATCTTTGTAATTTGTGAATGTGTAATAAGTGATCAAAACATAGAGAAAAGGTTGAAAACACATAACTCATAGTATTACCCTGATGTTCAACACCATGTAACAAAAGTCCCAATGAAGCATGTGCAGTGTAATATCTAGCCCGGCGTACTGTATAGTTTTCAGTCAATTAGTTTACAAATCTGGGAGAGGTGAGCTACACTCCCTCCTAAGTTTTTGTCAACCACTATCATGTCCGTTCAAGTGTATAACATGAACACATACAAATGTCCATTTTTTGTTAATAATTGTTGAAATGCTGACATTTAAAAAAATATTTGAGTCCCTGAGTTATAATAACTGTCTAAAAGGGCTGTAAAGTAGCACAGCTTGTCATGTTTTTGTTGCATCTGGTTGTGGAAAAAGTTAATGTTATCTGTGGGAGTCTTGAAAAACAACCACTTCATAACAAGGCTGGAATGTGCAGAAAACGTTGTAGTGAGCAAAGGCGAATGTCATTATATTTCCTCAGTATCTTAGAGGGCACAGTAGCCTCAGATACCAGGATTTTTGAAGAATTGTTGTACCTCAGCCATGCCAATGCCACTCTTGCTGATTATGATTTTTGGTCTGTAGAAATCACATCCATGTTTATGTTTCACCAAAGTGATAGATGTCTATGACTTGAGTCACAATGGAGTCATTAAGTGAGTAAGGTTTCGGCGATATTCTTATCCGTATCATAGCATGGAACATAAGGAAAGGGCTTCATTCATTGTGATCATATGGTGAACCAAGGAAACAATAAAATGACTATTGGCAAAAACAAGTCATAAACAGAAACAACTTAACAGCAATAGAAACATTTTCAGTCCTAAGTCCTTATAATGATAACAAATAGCAAAACCCTAAAAATGGCATATTTCTACTAGTCCTTATGATACCTTAACTGTTGGGCAGTTTGGCAAGGACTACTGGACTAGTGCCAATTTCTAACCTTGAACTTCACAAACCACTAACACAGACCACTAACACAGGCCACTAACACAGGCCACTAACATAGACCACTCAGACAGACGACTATTACACAGGCCACTAACATGCTACTAACATGCCACTAACATGCCATAAAAAAGAGAGACCACAATTACACAGGCCACTAACATAGACCACTAACACAGACCACTAACAAAGGCCACTAACACTGACCACTAACACATACCACTCACACATACCATGAACAGATACCACTAACAGGCCATGACCACAGACGACTAACACAGGCCACTAACACAGACCACTAACACAGATTACTATTACACAGGCCACTAACGGGCCACTAACGGGCCACTAACACAGACCATTATTACACAGGCAACTAACAGGCCACTAACACAGACCATTATTACACAGGCCACTAACGTAGACCACTAACACAGACCACTTTTACACAGGCCACTAACACAGACCACGGTTACACAGGCCACTAATGTAGACCACTAACACAGACCACTATTACACAGGCTACTAACATAGACAACTAACAGGCCACTATCATAGACCACTATTACACAGGCTACTAACATGCCACTAACACAGACCATGATTACACAGGCTACTAACATAGACCACTAACACAGACCACTAACACATACCATGAACACATACTATGAACAAATACCACTAACAGGCCGTGACCACAGACCACTAACACAGATTACTATTACACAGGCCACTAACACAGATTACTATTACACAGGCCACTAACGGGCCACTAAAACAGACCATTATTACACAGGCAACTAACAGACCACTTACACAGACCATGATTACACAGGCCACTAACATAGACCACTAACATAGACCACTAACACAGACCACTAACACAGACCACTAACACATACCATGAACACATACCATGAACACATACTATGAACACATACCACTAACAGGCCGTGACCACAGACCACTAACACAGATTACTATTACACAGGCCACTAACGGAGCCCACTAACACAGAACACTAACGCAGAACAATAACACAGATTACTAATACACAGGCCACTAACACAAGCCACTAACACATGCTACTAACACAAGACATGAACAAGGACCACTAACAAAGACCACTAACGCAGAACACTAAGACACAGTCCACTAACAAAGACCACAAACACAAGCCACGAACACAGACCACTAACACAGAACACAAGTCATCAACAGAAACAACTAAAACAAACTCCCATTCACAGAAGTCATCAAACACAGGTCAATAACACAAGCCACTAACACAGGCCACTAACACAAAAAAGAGCCATAAACAGAAACAACTAACACAAGCTCCAACTCACAGACATCACCAAACACAGGCCATTAAAACAATCCACAAACACAGACCACAAACACAGGTCCTTTACGCAGGCCTCTATCACATACCACTAACATAGACCACTAAAACAGTCTACTAACACAGACCACTAACACATACCACTAACATAGACCACTAACACAGTCTACTAACTCAGTCCACTAACACACACCACTAACGCAGACCACTAACACATACCACTAACACAGTCTACTAACACAGATCACTAACACAGACCACTAACACAGACCACTAACGCAGACCACTAACACAGGCCACTAACGCAGACCACTACAGGCAACTAACACAAGCCATGAACAGAAACAACTAACATAAGCAAGCTCCCACTCACACAAGTCACCAACACAGGTCACTTGCAACCGTACACAATAAAAGGGTTCTCTTGCACATTAACAAAGAAGAGCGCATCTATCTATACACATCTTG